GTGGCATGTTAACAAAATGGTTTAATTTTTACTTTAACCCCTAAATTTTAGATAAAATACTATTTAGGGACCATTTTATAAATTCAAAGTAATTTAGGTACAAAGTTCTAATTCATCCTTTTTATACTTTTCTTCTTTCCCACTTGTGCCGCCGCACACCCCTTTCTTGTTGTTCATCTTCTTCTAACAGAGAATAAATAAGAAATAGAAAACAAAACTGAAAAAAGCTTTAGAAATTTAATTGACGAAAACATCAAAGAAAAAGGAACCCAAGTGCTCGATTCTATCTAAGGGAGCGAAAAACATATATATTGATTTCTAGAAATAGGAAGCAATTAACTTCAGTTGAACAAGGTCTGCTTATTTATACCTAATCTACCATTTGGGGGGGGGTGATTATAAGAAAACGCTTAAGAAAAATGGTGTCGATCTGCTATGATTTCTTATTCTTCCTTTTCCTCAAGCGAAGTGTTCGATATAATGCTTCACAGACGAAAAGGAAAGGCCTGGCAAATTCTAATGCTGGTTACGTTTCCATTTTGTGCCCGATTTTGTGCCCGATTTTGGTAGTTTGTTTGAGAATGCAGTGATTTATTTTGAGAATGGAAAACAAAGATGATGAAGTGAAGAAGGCACAAGTTGTGGAAGCCAGGGCGAGAAAGATCAGCCACAAAGTGCAAAAAAAAGGGTAAATTAGAACTTTATCCCTCAATTACTTTGAATTTATATAATGATACTAATTAGAATTTTATCTAAAGTTTAGGAGTTAAAGTATAAATTAAAACCTTTTACTAACATTCCACATCATCAAACTAACGGGAGACAACGTTTCAATGACTATATCTTAATTAAAATAAAATGAAAGTGACAATATATTATGTTTTTTTGAAACTAGTGATCAGAAGTTTATAAAATTCAAACAAAAGTAACCAAATTTATAGTTTACTCTTTTTTTATTATGCTAAAAATAATATGTAACTACTAGAAAAGAATCGTATAATTTATATAAGCATTTAATATTATATTTTTATGTATTTATTATTTATAAAATTAAATTCCTCTATCGTTTTTAGAAAATCAACTAACATACCTTATTAATAAATATATTTTTGACTATTGAATTCGTCACTTTAATTCAATACATTTTTATTAATAAATAAAATCAACTCATACGGTTAGACGGGACAAAAACTAGTACACACACACACATATATATATATATATATATGATATTGATTAACTACAAAATTTAAGTATTTTATACGTTTTTTATTAGATAAATAAAAATGGATATATTAAGAAATAAGAAGATTTTATAAAATAATATATATATAGGGAAGGATCCAGTTACATAGTATAATTTTTTTAAATTTTACACTTTTTTAAGATCATTGGATGAGGAAAAATCAAATGTTGATATTAACAGTAGAAAATATTAAGATATTCACTCGGGGAAAAACAATGAGTTAATCTCAGTCTTTGATTTTCCTTCATCCAACGATCTTAAAAATGTGTAAAACTAAAAAGTTTTACACTAGGTGAAAGTAGATCCTAACCTTTTATATAGATATTATCCTTGACTTAAAATATTTTATTTCATCTATTAAAATAAATTAATCTAACAACAGAAAAACATTAAAATTTTTATAATGTGTAAATAAATCTTGATCATATACATATACACATAAACATACATGAAAACACAGTTTCATAAAATGATTTAGCCTATTCAAGTATTCACCATTTTTTTTTTGGATAAACTATATGAATGACCCTTTAATTATTAAGTTTTATTTAGATTGTCGATTTATTAGTTTTATCAATGATATTATTTAATTATTTAAATAATATCAATTAAATAATTAGTCATTAGTTTTTTATGAGAATATTCATGCGATAAGTAAATAAATTTATATAATTGTATATATAATCTTTCATATTTACATAATCAATTTAGTCAAAAAAATCAAAAAATTTAAAAAATGCTAAAGGAAGATTCAAACTTAGAACTACGGGGGCTATGGGGCGGACCCAACCATTGGATCAAGTTAAAATGTATGTTATTCATGAAAAAATGTGATGGGACTAAAAGACAAAAGAGATAGCAGCAGCCCAGCAACACTAGCACCCAAAAATGAAATGGCACCAGTCGCCAAACGTTCCAGACCACCACGGAATCCAAAACAAGAACCAATACCGGTAAGTTCCAGCTATCAACAGAACTAAACAGTAGCTACTAAGATTGCAGACCTTTCAAAGCAGTCCCCAACACCCCAGCAGAAACATACTCAAGGGACCCTAACCAGAACCCTTAGGGGGGGGGGGGGAGGACACAGAACCGACGGGACTATCTTACTAACACAATATCTATCCGCAACAGGCAAATCAAGCACAATATCCTCAATGGAGAAGAAATAGCCCGGGACGCTAGCCTTGAACCATCAAGCTAAACGGGATTTAATCAAGAACAAAAGCTGTAAATAATCAACCGACTTATTATCGAAAATAATAGCATTTCTATGTAACCATATGGACCAAATAACCGCGAACAGAATCATTTCCCAAAGGCGGCCTTTCAAATATCGGGGTCTGACAAAACTCCATGCTACCATGAACTTCACAGGGTCACGATGGAGAACCATAGAAACATTCCACAAAGCACACATGTGAACCCGTATCTTCCAAGAAACAAGGCAGGAGAAAAATAGATGTTCAACAGTTTCAGTTGCAGCATTACATAAAGGACAGAGATTATCACAACCGAGGACACACATCTCTTTTGGAGTTCGACTTTGACTGGAACACGTCGATGGAGAACCAACCAGAGAAAAGCCTCAACTTTAAATGGAGTAGACCCGACCCAGACCAACCTTTTCCAATCGAATTCTTCTGGTCTATCTGAAAATAACATCCGCCCAAGTGATTTAACTGAGAAAGTGTCGTCCCGGTACCACTCCATTTTACCCTATCATTGCCCAAGACAGAATCAATAAAGTTATTAAGAAGACTGTTGAGACAATCCCACTGCGATAATTCCCAGTCAAAAAGGCTTCTCCTCAGGAGAATAACCAAGTCTATCCTGTTGAATCTCTAGATTCATAATCTGCAATGCACCAATCTTTCTTTATCGCTAGGGAAAACAAACGGGGAAAGCGATCCTTAAGCGAACGATCACAAGCCCAAATATCGAACTAGAAGAGGACTCGGGACCCATTGCTGACTTGGATGCGAAGGTTGTTTCTAATAGTAGAACCAATGTGGTCTTGTGCTTGAAATGAGTGAAAAATCCCCTTCCAAATCCATGGCATAGGACGACAGTTATGGTTCAATGGAAGTAATGAAGGTTTACCGGAATCATACTTGCACAAAATGACTTTCCTCCATAAGTTATCAGTCATTACCGTAGCGCGAGGCCCACTTAACTAGCAACGCTCTATTCTTAAAATCCAATCGACAATCCCTAAACCTCCACGCTCTATTCTTAATATCCAATCGACAATCCCTAAACCTCCACGATCTATCAGTTGGCATGTATCCACCCAGCTAACCAATGGATCCTTCTACTATCACTGGTGCCGACCCATAGGAAATTAGGCATAATCTTATTCAAACGGTGAAAAACTTCTTTAGGCATCCTGAACAGAGATAAAAAGTATGTAGGCAGATTTGTAAGAACTGATTTTAGCATTTTTATTCTCCCACCAAAGGATAGCGAGGATGATTTCCAAGCTTGCGAGTCTATTCACTACCTTTACAATAACAGGCTCCCAAAGTGTGACTGAATTACGCTTTGCTCTGAGAGACATCCCTAAATAATCCGAGGGGAAAGTCCCAACCATACAACCAGCTGCTACGGCCCAAGAGTTCAAAAGAGAAGCCTCCACATTAATTCCAAAAATCCTGTATTTTTTTAGATTAAGGTGTAATCCGGAAGCAAGACCAATCACACTAAGCACCCTTTTGACATTGATAACCTGCCCCTCAGATGCACCACAGAAAATTAGTAAATCATTCGCGTATTGCAGATGAGAAATTTCCAAAGAAGACTCAATACAACCAATGTGGCAGCCCGAAAATAGACCTAGAGTATTAGCTTTGTGAATCATGAGATTCAACGCTTCACCTACCAGGTTGAAAAGGAGAGGTGAGAGGGGGCACCCTTGCCGTAAGCCTTTGGAAAGATTGAATCTACTTGTCGGAGACCCATTCACCAGAATAGAAATAGAGGCAGTCAAGATGCACTGTTCTATCCATTTGCACCACCTTACACCGAAACCCATCTCCTTCAACACATGAAGGAGGAAATTCCAGTCAATCGTGTAGTACGCCTTTTTAAAATCGATCTCGAATGCTAAGCTGCTAGACCCTCTTTTCACTATGGAATCAATCACCTCATTTGCAACTAGTGAGCAATCAAGAATCTGCCTACCATGTATGAAGGCGAATTGATTCTTGCTGATTAAGCCCCTAATGACTTGACGGAGCCTATTTGCCAGTAATTTACTCAGAATTTTGTACACACCGTTCACCAAACTTATGGGGCGATAGTCCTCAAGAGAGTTTGGGTTAAGAGTTTTTGGAATAAGTGCAATGAAAGAAAAGTTGATGTTGTCTTCCATTTTTCTGTGATGGTAGAAATCCTTAAAGAATTTGATTAGAGCGTCTTTGAGAATGAACCAATATCTCTTAAAGAATCCGAAATTAAAGCCATCCGGCCCCGGGACACGGATACTATCCGAGCAGTTAATAGCTAGCCATATTTCCTCTTCGGAAAACTCCCTCTCCAAGTACGTAACCTGTCCCTCATTTAGATTCAAGAACTCCAGTTTCATATCCAGTAATTCCAAGGCCACTTTCTTATTATAAACTGAATAAAAGTAGTCCCGAATAGCTTCCTTTATCTTGTGAGGCTCATGGAGGTGGCGAACATTGTCTTGTAAAGAAGAAATCTGATTAACTCTCTTTCTCGTCGTAGCCGAGATATGTAAAAATCACGTGTTTCAATCACTGTTTGAGATCCATTTTACTCTAGATTTCTGGCAGCAGGCTCTCTCCTCTTTCCTATATTCTTTCCAAAGAGCAGTTCTGGTGCACTTGATATCATTTAATACGTTAGGATGATAACCATTTTCTTGTAAGTCTGCTTCCAAGGTAGTTAATCTCTGTTCCATATTGATAATATTTGCTCTAAAATTCTTGTTAACACCATGGGACCATTTTTGAATTGCGACCTTCGCTCCCCTTAGCAGGCAATCGGTTCTCACTCGACTATTTGCTTGCTTCAAGAACTTAATTGAATCAACCACAGTCTGATCAAAATTAGCTTCCTCAAACCAATAGTTGAAGCATTTAAACGGTTTAAAGCCCAAGTTCTTCATATCCTCACAAAGCAGCACTGCATTATGATCTGAAATGGATTTATCCAGCATCGTTTGAGAAAGAGAAGGGAAAGCCAAGATGAACTCCGGAGAAAATAAAAACCGGTCGAAATGGACGAAAGACTGATGCTCACGATAATTACACCACATATACAAATCATCTTGAAGAGGGATGCCAACCGGACCGATTTCATTAACAAAATTATTGAAGATGATCAAGCTGGTTGTACTCATTGTCAGACCAATTTTTTTCTTTAGGATGCAGGAAAGCGTTGAAATCACCTCCTAAACACCAAGGGACCTAGAACCCTTCAAGGAAGGAAGCCAAATTCGTGAAGAAAGCTTCCTTTTCTGACTCTAGATGTGGACCATATACATTCAAAGTGCCACAACTCAGGTTAAAACAAGGGATTAAGCCTAGGATCATAATGGACCTTTTCTTAACGAAAACATCCGAATCAGAAAAGAACTTGGGGCCCCACAAACATATTAGACCCCCAGCTGATCCTAAAAAAAGCGAGAAAGACAACTCATAAGAGCCATTGCAACTCAGCTTTCTACTTAGTCCTTGATTGATCTTGGAGCGCTTTGATTCTTGAAGAAAAAGAAAATTTGGTTTGAACTTCCGAGCCAAATTGCACACTGCACTAACCTTCTCTTCTCTTCCCAATCCCCTCACATTCCAAGTAATAGCAATAGAATTCATAAATGACAGAAATTAAGAAACCCAAGAAATAAGCTTACCGTAGGGTCTAAAGACTTTCCCAAATCTCATCTTCAATTTCCTGAATTCGATTTATAACCTCTTCTTTCCCTCCTTTAAACGAGATCTCCAACAGCTTACAAATCTTCCACACAGCTTCTGCTTCCACATTAGACATGTACTGAGAAGGAATGACGGACGAGATCGGAGAGGGAGGCACAGTCTGATTTTCCTCGAGAGAATCCCTTATAAAGCCTCGAAGCAACCTCCTTTGAGATGCATTTAAGTTGCTGGTCGAAGGGAAACAAAAAAGGAAAGAGCGATTCCTTGACCGAAATTCCTCAAAAGGCTTCAGAGCTGAAGATTGGCCTCTGTTAACGATGGAAAGAGTGTTTGGAATAATATCCTCTTAGGCATCAAGGTTGTCTTCGAAAATTTCTTCTAACAGTCCATCCGACCAAGACTCTAATATATCATAAGAGCTCAATGGACTCGTACCAGGCCCAGCAGAGTCAGACGACCGAACTGGAGTAGTAACGGGATTGTGGGCCTTGTCACAACTCCACGGATCCAAAAGTCCACCTAGGCAATCGATTGGTTTTGGCCTGCCAAGAATAGAGATTGAACCTTATCTGGGAGCAGCTTCTGAAATTGGGCCAGTTGTAAAGTTTTCTAGGAGGTTATCGAGATGAGGAGCGGCAACCTCCCTACTACCAGCAGCAGTGGATTTGTCCAGGTCATCATTAGTTTCTTGAAGTCCCAAAGAGTAGGAATTAGTACCAGCCCCCACACGGACCTCGGGATGTGGAAGATTGTCAGACGAGATACGAACCATTTCGACCTGAGCCTGAAAATCATTCTCGTGGATCTCAACCGTCCAGGATGTCTGACGACCGTTAGGTGCAAAAACCTCAACGTTATCTCCCGATGGTAGGCTTTCAGACCAATCATCAGCATATCTACCCACCACAGCTCCGAACAGTTCTACATTCTGAGGCCAAACATCAGCGTAAAGATCTTCTTCTTTAGCAGTACTGTGAATATTACGTAACGTATTACGGTTGTCGAGGGCGTGATTTATTCCTCAAAAATCATAATACGTTTAAAATATTATATTTATACATTTTATAGTTATCTTTTAATATACTAATATTAATATATTCTTTTAATATTTTATTTTGAAAATAAAAATTTAATTTCATAGATAAAATTTATTAAAAATAAATATAAACCATAAAGGTGTTATCATACTAGATAATGGGTAATAACATTTATAATGTTAATGAGTAACATATACTATTATAGTATTATAAAGTGAATTAATCTCTTATACAAAATTTATATAATAATAAATAAACATATAATTATGATACTTAATGTTAATATAAAAATTTAATTTAAAATTAATCACGTCAATTTTAGATATAAGAAAAATTTAATTTTAATTAATTTAATTTTAAAATAACTTTAATAAACAATTTAATTAATTCAAATTTAAGTAACTAATTTTAAATATAACTATTACAATATTATTAAATATATATATATATATATAATACAGTTTTAAGAATTCAATTAGAACAATTCATCTATGTAATTTTATATTTAAGATAATTTAAAGTTTGTTGAGACGTTGCAGCGTACTTTATAGCGTGTTGCGGTATTATGTAACGATTTTTGACCACAACAATCGTGATACGGTTCTCTTATCGCGTTGCGCTGATATTACGTCGCGATAATCTTCAAAAAAATTACGATACGGGCTTTATGCCGCATTGCGGCCACAATTTAATACTATGTGCTGGGCAGACTCAAAGAGGAGAAAACCACATCGACCTTTATGAAATAGGAGCGACCCCTCGACTGAACATTGAACGATATAGGTATATCAAAAGGACTAGCAACCCTAACAATGATTTTTGTTTTCGAGAGGTCTTCCAGATTCCTAGTTAAGTTCTCAGGCCCAACGTGACGACCCCATTTGTTCCCCATTGTAGTAAAGAAATTTTCATGCCAGAGGTGCAAGGGAACACCCATAAGGCAACAAGAATAGAAATTAAGATAGAGGTACACCGTCTTCATTTGATATTGGCTCAATGAACTCGAACCAGAAATAAAGGATCTCCTTCTTCTTCGCCCATGCTTCCTCCATCTCCACTTTTGAGGCGAAGGTGATAAGACATGAGCAGGAATTGTTACCCCATCTAGCCACTTTAGCTACTATCCCATCGCTTTCCAATGCTCTTTGGACAAAATCTATATCAAATCGTTTTTTGACCATCCCCGCCAGAGAGTTGCTAACCCACATCGTATAGTTAACCGGTATATGAATTTCTGGCGCTCTAACATTATTACCAGAGCCTATCATAACTCCGTTCCCTGCACCACGCTCTTCTGCCACCACTGATCTTGACTTACCCATGAGAGTTTCTCTATAAGACCTATTATCTTTCAGTGTCGAAAACCTTACAACCGCCTGCTTACTATACCTGGAGCGAGAGCACCCGTCAACCTCGACGACCTTTCCACTCTTGCACCACCCGAGCGATTAGGGTATTTTGCTTTAGAGACGACGATTACTTTCCCGTCAACTATTGTATTATTCAGTAAATATTAATAAATATACTATAAAAAATATTTTAAATTATTAATAATTATATATTTTGAATATATTTTAAATTATTAATAAATATATATTTAAACATATTTTAAAAAAAATTTTAAACATTAATTATTAATATATATAAAATTATTTCTATTAAAAGAAAACCAAATTAAAACGATTTATAAATATTGAAGGTTATATTTATTAAATAATTATTAAATTAAAACTAAATTAACTAACTATATGAATATGAAAGATTAAATGTACAATTATATAAATTTTCTTAACTGCCGTATCAGCATTCTCTATATACATTAAATAACTTAATTGATATTAATTTAATAGCTAAGTAATATAATTAAAAATTATTTTAGTCCAATGGTTAAAATATAATTTACCGTATAGTTTAGTGACTATGCGTGTAGTTTAAACCCAAAAAAAAAACCATGAACATGCATAATAACTAAAGTAACCCCAATTTTCTACATTATACCTCACACACCAAAACATACCCTTATGCATCGTACATCAATATTGATGTAGCATAACATGTGAATCTTTTATTATTTTTTTAATTTTCACATCATTTTTCTCTTTTTCCGTCAGCTTTTAAAAATTTATTTTATTCAACTAAATACGTACACTTGTCCTATCTATGAGGATAAAATAGAAAAAAAAATATTCCTGCTTCCAACATAAATTGAATCTAGAACAAGTACATGAAATACAAGGCACTAAACCACCATGTTAAGCTAGTCATTTGAGTTAATCTCATCATATTTTATATTTAACTTATATATCGTATCACCACAAAATAAATATTTTCTGATGATTAGTGTACATTTAGATATATCGTATTAGTGGTGTGTTTCGATGTGCGACGTTCACGGTAGACTCATCCTCTTCAAGCAAGATAAATGTATTTACCGGAGGGGGAAAAAAGTATCCCACTTATAACTTCATAACCTTTTTATTTGATATTAACATGAGTTTCAGGGAAAATCTCCAACATAACTTCAAATGGAATTTGACTCAGTCAGTCATTGATCTGGTGCCTTTCATTATACATTTCACCAAGTCCAGTATACGACAATAATCAAAGAAGAGGGCAGAATCTTTACCTTCAAGTCCGTCTCGATGATATCTATTGCTTCCTGTAAGGTTGTTGCACGGACTCCCTCCCACCACAAGGTCGAATCCACCATACGTCTTAATCAGATGCTCCAACCGGTCCCCGTTGAGTTCTTGAACATCTGGGATTTCAATCAATGTCCCTCTCTGGCTGGTTTGTTCCCACCAACTCCTTAGAATATTTCGGTTCACTTCCGATATCTCCACCGATACCACATTCTTCAAGGGGACACCATGTCGGTGGAGGGCAACCTCTGCACCTCCTATCCCAGAGAAAAGAGACAACAAATTGATACCGCGAGGGAACATGTCTTTTAAAACCGAAAAGTGATAGGCCACTGTGTCAACCTGAAATCAGTTCCTCTATAAGCGCAGCACCACAGCCATAAAACTTGGTGCACATAGCACAACAAAATGAAAGTGATGATTCAAAAGAAACAAGTGTGCACCTGAAATGAGTTACCAAGCGATTTGTATCTATCAGTCCGACTGATTCCCCCTCCCCTTGTGTGGTTTCTAGGGAATCCCAAAAGCATTTCCACTTCATCAGGTTCAAGCGGAGCAACCTTATTCTTTCCAACCCACACCAGATTCCACTTTCTGCATTGTTCGAGAACAAACTTTTGGACTCCCAATGGTGGGTCGCCATCGTAATCTTCTAGAGCCTTGCGAATCTTATCCGTCAATCTTGCACTTGCTATACATGTTTGCAAGCAGTTCAATTTGGTTCTCGTGTCCCATGACGGCCACCATTTTCTTGTTAGTGGAAAAGCTTCATTAATAGTACGTGGAGGGAATGGAACAAGGGGAAATCTATTCTCAATTGGTAGGTTATGAACATAACCCCTCTTCCTTGCAGCAGCAGAAAAGAACTTTGAATCAACAAACTCAGGCTCCACGTCATATAAGAAGCGTGATATGGTGGTCCAAACCCCTTTCGGAGCAAGTGCTACATTCTCGTAGTAGAAATATGGGGGCCCAACAACAGCCTCTGGAATTACTCTAGTGGTATGCTCTGATTCGGTGGGGACCCCAAAACCAATCATTAGATTAGGAAGATGAACTGCATCATCATCATCTTCATCAAACCTCTTTTCAAGCTTCATCTTCTTCTTCCTTCTCAATAAATCATAATCCCAGTTTCGTCTCCTCTTGTGATTAGACTCATTGCAGAACGGCTTCTACAAAATTACATGGAAAATTCTTGGTAAAATATAGAAACAGTATTACTGGTGGAAAAAAAACTACCTTGTCTTCAAGTGGAAAAAGCACATCAGCAGCCTTTGCCATTTGTGCAACACATATAAAGTCAGTTAACTCCGCAATTGTGGAGTCCGGACCTGCAGTATTTATTGTTAATATATAACCTGAATTCTTAACTTGGGCCGCTCTCTTGCAACTTAAAAAGGGCCAAGGATAACAGTTAAACAGTATAAAAAAAACTTCTCCTATTAAGATAGAAGCCCAAGGGTGCCACCTAAAAGGTTCATGGCTGAACACTTGGGATTCTCTAAAAGAAAATTCGGACAATTTATTATTTCGCCTATAAAGTACAAACCATCAACTCAGGTACTTTCTAAACAAAGAATAATAAAAATAAGAGTTAATCCAACCATTCTTCTGCAGTAGAACAAAATTGATTCTCAAGCAAATATGACACAAACACATGTATATAATATGAAAGTTCACCATTTTCAAAACAAGTAGTTAGATACAGTGGCGGATCCAGAAATTTTTTAGGGTGGGAACACATGCATATATATATATATTAACCACATAAAATTTTTGTACGAGTATACACAAATAAAATTTTAGGGTAGACCAATCAATAAAATAAGTAAATTCCGATTCAAGTGTGCACGTGCCCACCGAAAATCCTTAGTAGATCCGCCACTGGTTAGATATAGTGAGAGTTCCTAAGATCCTTTATACTGTCCAAATGAAACTTTGATATCATACCAACTATCGACAAGAATAATGTGCAAAGAAATATTGCAAATATGAACAAAATAAAACGAACCACATCGCTCCATGGCTACTGAGGCCTCTGCTTCTGAGTACCCCATTTTTGTCAAGTGTAACAATTTTCTCTCCTCATCGGAGGCAGGACTCATTATTTCCTGGAACATAGAAATATAAAATGAAAAATCATACTCAATCATCTGCAAGTATAAGCCATATTGTCTAATATAGATAACTATTCAGTAGCTAGATTGTAGCACCTATATAAATGCAAATCCAATGGCTCTAGGCAACATTATATCATCCAATAAGCTAGAAAATGGAAGAACTTCAATATTAAAAATTTCAATGGTACAGAAGATAATTTTTAGAAATGTCTGCAAATTGAGCTAACAAATTAATAAATGCAAGTTGAGATACCTCAGTCTCAGAAAAACTATCAAAATCTGAGAAGTCATCCAGTAAACTCCCTTCGTAATCTGATGAAAAGTTATCAGAGTCGGCATTTTGTTGCATGGGAACAGTTGTTTCAAGAGCCTGCAAAGTACAGAGAGAATAAAGAACTCTTTGCAATGTACTCCAAAGACAAATCTATTTGGGAAGGATTAGAAAATATCACCTAAGGTACTGAATATGTAGGTTTGCAATTGCATCATGATCAAGACTACTATTAAGGGGCCTGTCATGATCTTGAATTTTTAGATAGATTATTCAGCTCGTCGAAGGGAGACATAAACCTTAAGAGAGACCAAGATCTCTTAGGGTTTTTAGAAATTCTGACTTGGGGCTTTATTATTTCATACGTCCGATAAAAAAACCAGTCTTATTGCATATAGAGGAAGCACATTCTTAAAAGGAAAAAAATCAACTGAAAAAAAACATAATCAATAAACCTAAGGAAAGAAATAAAATCACAACCTAAGCCTTAACTAGAGGATCAAAATTAACTAATGGCCTTTTCTGAAATAGAAATTGTCCATAACATTACTCCGTTCCAAGAGAAAGAGCTTGTACTCAAGCTTGTAGTCAGGGTAAATTTGGGAAAAGGTCTCTTTCTTTGCTAGTAGCCAAAACCAAACCAAATCAAATAAATCTTTTCAAACTTCTCATCAGCATTCAATATTTTCAAAAACAACCCAACAAGTTTAGACCTACTAAATATTTCGGATATGGGGTTGAAGGTTTTTTGGGTCGGCTCTTAAACCTAAGGAAAGAAATAAAATCACAACCTAAGCCTTAACTAGAGGATCAAAATTAACTAATGGCCTTTTCTGAAATAGAAATTGTCCATAACATTACTCCGTTCCAAGAGAAAGAGCTTGTACTCAAGCTTGTAGTCAGGATAAACTTGGGAAAAGGTCTCTTTCTTTGCTAGTAGCCAAAACCAAACCAAATCAAATAAATCTTTTCAAACTTCTCATCAGCATTCAATATTTTCAAAAACAACCCAACAAGTTTAGACCTACTAAATATTTCGGATATGGAGTTGAAGGAATTTTTGGGTCGGCTATAAAGAAAATGACGGGTATAAGATAAGGAACTGAAGTCGTTGTAGATGCAATGTTTTTCTCAATATGGATTTAGGAGGGTTTGGTGTATAATACAAAGAGAAGACATTGTCAGAGGCTACCATGGTTTGGTTTTGTTCAGATAAAGGGTCTACATTTTTGTTGATATTTCGTTGAACACTTGGGTTGTCTTCATGTTCTCATTTACTTGATTTCTGTTCTTTGCACAAAATTCATCTTTCTCCGTCAACATTGTCATATCAAGTGTTTAAGTGAGGATCGTTAGCTCTAAATACCAATTGTTATGATCTTGAATTTTATATTAATAGTTCAGCTCGTAGAAGGTAGACAATAGACTGAAACTCCTCTGTTTATCAAATGGAGACTGAAACCTCAAGACTTGTTAACAGAGAAACCAAGATATTTTATTTTATTTTTTTAATTCTGAAACGGGGTTTTATTATTTCATACTTCCCTTTAAATAAAGACCAGTCTCATTACATACATAGGTAACATATTCTTAAAAGGAAAATAAATCAACTAAAATAAAAAGCATAATCTATAAACTTAAGGAAAGAAATAAAATCACAGCCTAAGCTTTAAATAGAGAATCAAAATTACTCATTGCCTTTTCTAAAATAGATATGGTCCATAACAGGGCCAGAAACAAGGTTTAGGTGTATAACTTACCGAATAAGTCAACAGAGTCTCCAATATGGACTCTGTATGTCCCTCCCCTGAAAACACAAAGAACAATATCACATATAAAGTCATTGAGGTGAAAACTGATGTCCAATGAAATGAAAAAGAATTACCGTTTTCCTGAACCACTTTCACAACTATTTCTTCAGGAAACCCCATCCCTACAAAATGATCGATCATCTTTGAATTGGAAGAACTAGGTAATGTGCTTGCCTTAATACCAAAAAGGGCAATCAAGAATTAATAGTTATTGAAACCTGTAATCTGAAGAAACCAACAATTCAACAGTAACTTATAAGCATCTTAGAAGGGCATACATTATAACTCACCGAGTACTCAAGGAGAGTTTCAAGAATCAAGTTTGAATTTTCCTCTCCTGGAAAACATTCAAAGCAGAATTATAAGTGAGTTTAAGATTGAAAGCTTCAGCTTTAAGTAAAAGAGACCTAGAAGCTTGACCTTTTTCTTCAATCACTTTGGCAACCATTTCTCTTGAGAACCCCATTCTACCAAATTGGTCAATTATCTTGGAACTGGGAGACTTTCCAGAAGTGCTTGCCTTGAGGCAGTAAAAGTTAACAATGAGCATATACTATTCCAGAATGCTATGTGAACTAATGACACACGAGCATGTACCTCTGCCAAGCCAAAAACAGCTTCTCCACAAGGAATTGACAAATCAGAGTGGGGGGAGACGGCATAATTATCAATTTCCAGATCATCTTCAGTATCCCAGTCAAAATTATCAGAATCCACACCAGAAATATTGTCAACCTACAGAACTTATACAAACATACGCATGCATGATATCAGATTATGTATATATGTATATAGATTGAATAATAATTAAAGGAAAAGAATTATCCTATCTTTTGGTCAGTCAAATAATACAACATAACTCAGTATTTGTTAAGAAATGAAAGAAATTAGAATTAAATAACTAAATCAACTAAACAATACCATTTTTGAGTTATAATATGGCCCAAGTAAAGTTTCGTAACCTGTAAGATTCATTAAAAAAGGAAATTAGGAACAAACGAAGATTCATTAAAAAAGGAAACATATTACAGTTATGATTTATAAACATCATTTTTATCAATCTTATAACGTTACCAAAAATTTAGAAGTTAGGGAAAATATCAAATTAGTATATAAATACGGATAGATAAACTGTCTGCAAGATTCAATTTCCAAAATTTGACTTGTACCTCTCCTAACTGCTAAAATTTAAGCCCGAACAAAGGGAAAATAAAAAAGGAAGATAAAGCAGAAAGGGAAAAAAATCGTTTCTCGGCAATCAAACAGAAATTACAAAAAGAAACGCATCATCAAAACGAACACTAATTAAAAAATATAATAAATTTGTTTAGTGATGAAAATTTTACCTCAAGGAATCGAAGACAGAATCTCAAAGAAATTCGTTGAGTCGGTAATGCAGCTAAAAGCTGAGAAAAGATTATGCATGCAAGAAACGAAAATGGAGTACTCAAAGTAGGTGTTGGCTATTGCAGTGAAATCCATTTATTTAAGATAAAATAAAACAATAGTAAATATTAAAATCTGAGGATGCTGCTGTGAGCTTTTGTTCGTTTCCACGTTAACTGTTTACGCGGCAAATTTTACAGCTTTTGTTGTCGTTGCGTTGGACCGGTAGTACGGAAAATTCGTGCTGCTACTAGGGTCGTTGTTTGTTCGCTTAATATGCTTAATATAAAAATAGGTGTCTACATCTTTTTCTATTTAGGTACCTAATTTTTTTTCTTTTTGTCAAATTAAGTATTTAATATTTTCAACGTTATTATTTAGGTGTCTCGATCGTAACATATGTTGAAAAATTTTTGTAACCACTCAAAATGTGACTCGTTGTATCTTTAACAAATTTTAAAAAAATATTTTAAAAAAAATTAAAATTATTATTAATTTTCAAAATATTCCCAAAATATTTCTAAAATCTGAAAAAGGTCTCAAAATTCTTAATCCAAAAGTATCCATCCCACCCATCGATCGTCCACCGTCACTGCCGCCTCCACCGACGACCTACCCACCGTCACTGCCGCCTCCACCGACGACCTACCCACCGGCCACCGCATACCCACCCACCAACCATTCTCATTCGTGGATTAAAAACCCAAAATTCATAAACCCAAATACTTAAATCCAAACCCTAAATTTTAACACTCATGCATCCTAATCAATGGGTGAGTTGTCGACGAGTTGGTGGCCGACAGGTGAGTTGATGATTGTCGGCAGTGGTAGTAGTCGACGCCAGAATTGAAAGTCTTGGGGCATTTTATGAAAAATAGGAAAATTTGAGTTTTTTTAATTTATTATTTTTTTAAAATGAAATATAAAATCAAGCTAGGTGTCAAACACTTATTGATTGGCTTATTTTTAAAGAATTTTCTCAGTAGTCGTTACATCGTAGGCACCTAATTTGACCTAAAAAAGTTTAGCTACCTGAACAAAAAAAAGGTATAATTTGAACACTTATTTTTATATTAAGTCATGTTTGTTTTATAAATCTCTTAAATTATTAGGATCCAATTATTTTATGTAAAACATTTTTTTTTTATTTTTTCAATATTTGGTTAATAAAAAATAAGTTAATTTATTTTCTTAGTCAACAAAATTTCTTTAAATTTTCTAGAATATGACTTATTGTCTGATTTTTCGTAAGTTATTTTTTGAATTTTTATTTTCAAATAAAAAAATACTCAAAATAGGATGAGTCTAGAGTGCATGTTGCACACCGAAATACACCACTAATGTAACACACCAATGCACACCACTAACTAAATTGTCCTTATTAAATAAATATTAAAAATACAATGACCTATCCACAATTAATCCTTTATTATTATTTAATTTAAATTTTAATAAGAATATAATTAATTTATATTTTTCATCAAAAATTATAATTATTTTAGGATTTTTTATTTGTTTAGGATAGGAACACTTAACTTTTATAAGTTTACATATTCATCCCAATAAAAACCATCAAACTAGCCGTCAGCGATCTAATTCATCGCCGAAAAATCGTGTTACTTACATGTGGTTATATAATTCCATCCCCACTAGGCTCTTCCCAAGATCATGTAAATTTTTTCACAGCTGCATATTATTTTGTTCAGTTGCTTAAGGAATTATTGGTAATTTTTTATTTATATGTAATTGGAGCTTCTGTTTTGATCAATGCTACATGCTTATAGATTCATCGTATACAAAGACACGATCTTCAGCTCCTCTCATTGGAACTAGTTTCAAAGATGGTTTTGTGCATTCACCACCAATGATGGAAGAACCCGACGGTTTAGGCAATTTGAAGTCATTGTTTACATATAAAGAATTAATCAAGGATACAAATATCTTTTTAGACCGTAATCTTTTGGGTGAATGTGAACTTGGGGTTGTTTATAAAGGTTGCTTACAAGATGGAAGATGGGTGGTTGTAAAGCAGCTAAAACTTGGGGTTGTTTATAAAGGTTGCTTACAAGATGGAAGACGGGTGGTTGTAAAGTAGCTAAAAATTGGCGAGAAATGGGTAAACAAGAATTTAAAGCTGAGGTTGAAGAACATGATCTTCCGTCGATGAATAGGATCATTGACAATTAATGATGATAATTTTTGTTGTGATGAATATGCAAATTTATATAAATTAAGTGTTTCAATCATAAACAAATAAAAATTCTCGAAATAATCATAGTTTTCAATAAGAAATATAATTTAATTTTATTCATATTAAAATTTAAACTAAATAAAAATAAATGATTAATTATGGCTAGATCATTATATATTTTTATATTTTTGTAATAAGGACAATTTAGTTAGTGGTGTGCATTGATATGTTACATTAATAGTGTGTTTCGGTGTACGACGTGCATTCTAGAATTTTTCCTCAAAACAATATTACTTTATGTATTTAATATTAATATAATATTTTAATATTATTTTAATAAAAATATTAATAAATTATTTAAAATATATTTATTAATAATTTTAATAATATAATATTATGTTTTTAATATTATAGTAATATATGAAATTGTATTATTATTTTAGTAATAAATAATAAATTATTAGTAAAATTAGTATTATTTATTAATTTAATAAAATTAATATATTAAATTATTAATAATAATTATTTTATATAATCAATATTAATATAAGAATATTTAATAAAATAAAATATTTATTAATAATTTTCAAAATAGAATATAACATTTTTATTTTAATATTATAATAATATTCTTATTTTTCATAAGTAATTAATAAAATTAATAATATATATTATTTTAATAATATAATATAATATACTTATTTTAATAATAACTAGCATAATTTATAATATTTTTGTTTCGATAAAATATACTAGTCTAAATATTTTAATTATATAAGTTTAAAAATAGAATTTTAACAATAATATTGATATAAATAATATTAAATAAATTATTATAATATTTTTAAAAATAATAATATTAAGTTTTTATTATAAATAATATTATTTATTGTATTTAATATTTATTATTTTTTATTAGTTTGAGACGAATATAAGGTAATATTTTTTCAAAGACACTCAATCATTTGACATTGAACGCTAATATCTAGAGATGACAAACGGGCGGGGTGGGTGCGGATACCCCTTCCTCCATCCCCATACCCACCTAATATTTTGTATCCACCACCTATCCACAACCCACGACGAATAAAATTCTTAAACAAAGCATAACACAAACACGTCCATTAAGAAGTATAATAAAATGTTTATACCCCTAACATTTGGTTAAATAAATGTTTATACCCTAACATTTGGTTAAATAAATGTTTATACCCTAACATTTGGTTAAATTACAAGTCATGTCCTATAAAATCTTAAGGTTTACAGAATAGTCTATGAAATTATATTTAAATTCATAAAGATCTAAACTTTATATGGTGGGTAGTTAGTTGGTGGGCGGATGTGAGGCGAGTAAGGTTCAAACCTATCACAAACTCACTATACACGGGTATGACTTTTTACATTCACACCCGCCAACTACCTATTTAACTTATATCCATCTTCACCCCAATTGGAGCGCGTGTGGTGAAAAATTCACGAAATTGTACACGTTTGTCATCCCTACTAATATGCATGCATGCATGGTGCTCGAACCCGAGACCTCAAGTGACAATTCTTAACCACTATGGTAAACTGGTTCGTGTTATATTCAATTTTTAAAATAAACAACTTTTGAAAAATTTATTAACTACTGAAAAATAGTTTACACAACATCATCCAATCATCGTAAAATGATTTTCATAAACTGTTTTCAAGAAAATATACTTCATTTTTTTTAAAAAAATGATAAATTATTTTTAGTGAAACAAACAGACAAAATTCAATTTAAGGGTAAACTATACATTTAGTAAATAAACTATCACTTTTATTCTATTTTAGTCATCCAACTATTATTTTTTTCAACAATATACATAATGTTACGTTTCAGTATAATTTTTGTCACCTGTCGTTAAAAAAATAATAGAACTAACGACATGGCATTTAAAAAAAACTAATGATGTTGTGTTATTATTTGACACGTCAGCATCATCGTTTATTTTTTTAACGGTAGGTGACCAAATTAAAATAAAACCATTACATTAGATATGATTTTGAAACAAAAATTAGTTGGATGACCAAAATAAAAAAAAATGATATTTAGAGTACTAAACATGTAGTTTACCCTTGATGTCAGAACGATCCTTAAGCTTTTTTAGGACTATGGTGGGGAGCGATCCAACTGAAATTTGGAAAAGGTTGGGTTTTTAAATAAATGCATAAATAAATAGATTTGGAGTCGCCACTAACCTTTGGGTAGGTAGGTCGAATACCTAAAGAATTTCCTTTAAAATAATTTTTAGAAAAACTAATTTTAAAGATAAAAAATGATATGCGTTTAACCATAAATTCGTTTTGAAAAAGGGTTTGGGAGTCAATTATGCGTGATTAGTACCCCCACAACACCCAAAATCGGTACCTAAGTGATTATACGTCATATGAATGTTGAAATTGGCAAACTTCAATATACATTTGGATTGTGATCCTTTTTTGAAAAATTAAAAATGGGTATTATTTTGTTAGAATAATTCTCGAAAATACCTTCCTTGTCAGTTAAGGGGGCATTTCCATGGATTCTCCATACAAAATAATATTGCCCTAATTTTAATAAATCATATATACATAATAATTTAAAAAAAACTCAAATATAAAAAGGTATTACTCTGTATGAAAAATCATTGGGAACGTGATCCTTGTCAGTTAAGGCACATTTCCATAGATTTCCCATACAAAATAATATTGTCTTAGCTTATACATATATTAAATATTTTAAAAAAATTCATTCGAATATAAAAGGTATTATTTTGTTTGAACAATTCTTGGAAACGTACTACTTGTCAGTTAAGGCGCGT